TGAAATACTCGAAGACTGGAGTTTAATTATAGGACCTGCAAACGTTTATACGCTAGAAAAACGGTGGAGATGTTGCGGCGGAAAGCAATACTCAGTAGGATGTAAATCTCGATACAGGTGTTGCAAGCGACCAATAGACAGCGCTGGTTGCATCAAAATGTATAATTGCTGTAACACGATTCCTCATGACTGCAGTAATAGCAAAGAATGTAAAGTTGGTGAATGCAAGGTTGAATCTGGTTGTCTGCTAGTGTGTTCGGGATGCGAACAAATTTTGGCTAAAAGTAAAGGTTGTAGTATCGCAAAAAAGCACAAGTGGAGCGAACTACCGAACGTAAGTATTGTCATAAAAATTACCTTATTCAAAGGATTTGTAATAGCAAAATAATAACCGATATAATATTGTATTATTTAGTCACAACAAAAACAATGCATTGTTTTTGAAGTAACTGAATAATAATACGACATTGTATAGGTTAGTATTTGTATGTTATTCTAACCAATCACACAACAGATCGATGTAGAAGTATTTTGGAGAAATGACACTCCGTGTCTCGTGGAACATGCATAGCCGAGAGCGATAGAAAGATAGTTGGTTTATTGATAATGCGTCGTTCTATATCTGGGTCGTTACATAATCTATTCAGGTGTGAAATCTATTCGGGATGTACTACAAACGTACGGTGCGACTATATATGGAGTGTACGACTTGATACTCCCAATAAATAACTCGTGGCGATTATTTGTATTATCTAACTGCGACCAGACATTTGCGATCCAGTACATACGACTTTTTACATAATTGGTTTTTAGTCAAATTTCCACGCAGGTATGGAAAATATGGGTCTATTTTATTGATATAGATCAAAATACAAAGAATCGAAATATTACAAAGAATTAATCGTATAATGGTGAAGAAACTGTGGGACTCGGATTAGCATTTCGGGGTGGGTGTGTATTAGCTTGCTCTAATGCCCGCATTAGTAAGCTTTTGTTTACAATTGTAATATTTCTCAAAGTCAGTAATAGAGGCTTCACACGCCATGAAGTACTTTTTGTAAAAGGTATTTGAGCTTGCATAAGATGGAAATATCTTGGTATCCCGTTTGCGTCTCTCACTAAAGCGTTTAGATATAAACCCTCACCAGCTACTTGAATTCCAACAATACCGAATTGATTACTTGTTGGTCTACAAGTAATACCGACAAGACTTATTCCATCTAAGGTTTCCCTCCACAATTTTATAGAATCATCCTCTTTTTTTGAATTATAATTAGCGCAAACGACCCGTGAAGATTCCACATAAGCAAGTTCAAAAATCTTACCTCCACATTTTTCCATCATCATAACATCAGGTTTTTTCCCTATCGGCACTCTGGGAGAGTGTGAACTCTTTTCTTCATTCACCCCAAGACTTTTTCGAACCTTACTTGCTATGCTCTGACGTTCCGCAGTGCTTATACAGATACTACCATTTGGGAGATCATCCAAACTGGCCCGAAGCAAAGGTACAATGATATCTGTGATATAAGTTCCTTCACTTTGCGAACAACGCATTTCGCTAGCTGCAAATGCTGGATTGTTCCATACCCCTCCCTGTATTAAGAGTGGTTAAAAAGGTTTTTTAAAATCAAATACAAAGATAGAAAAATACCTACAAAACGCTCAATATACAATTTGTTCGTTCTAATATTTTAACCTCCCCCTCTTTCCATTCTTTGTTATGTACAATCTTCATGAGCGCATCCGGCATTTCAATATTATTATCCAATATTTATCTTTCGTCCCTGGAATAGTCGCATGATTAGTTACGAATTCATCACATCTTGAAATAACCGAGTGGGGAGAACGCATTTCATATTCTCACGGGACTCTAAAAAAAGTTGCTTCTGTCTTGTCCCCAAATTTTTTACTAATGTTGAACCGTCGGAAATAATCATATTTGCCTCTGGATCACGCCATGAGAGTTCGGAAAGATTGATGTTTCGTAGATTGGTTTTGAGGGCATTGTAAAGGGATATGTCCGCATCAGTCATCGGCGAACCTAGTTTCGATTCTAAGGTTCTTATATTCCGTTTTATTTCTTCTCTTGTACGGTCGAGGTTAGGCTCCTGCTCCGTCTTCAGTTCTTTTACTGCGTCCAACCCCACAACACTTTTATATCCAACTTCCATCTACAGCAAATACGATAAGTTAGATTTGTGGCCACAAAATTAAAAACCCCATATGTTGCACGTGAACATTCAGATTCTATCAATTTTGAGCATTTTTGTTTTCCGCACATACTGTAGTTAGGGGGTAGCAGAAACCCTCGACATCGTGAGGAAATTTTCCTGACAATATCGCTCTTCCGGGCCGGCGTCCCTAACCAGCAGTATATAAAACAAACTCTGTAGTATTTGCTGTGAAATCATCATAATGTGAATTATAGAAAATATTAAATATAGGATATACCAACCTGTGGCAAAACTTCCAACACTCTCATTCTTCGATTGAAATCAGTTACAGTCATCCCCCCCTATAAGCACACTCCTATATAGTCACAACCCCCTTATAGTCACATTTTTCTTGGAACCAAC